TGCTTTAGGATACCACGCGTCAACATGCAAAAAAAACGCCCCGCAATATAAAAAACTTCCCGCAATATAAAATTTTGCCATCGCGGCACGTCGTTTTTGCATGTCGACGGCCGCATTTACATCGTTTTTGGCATGTCGACGGGCACAGGCATCATTTTGGCATGTCGACGGGCACATTTTGGCATGTCGACGGCCGCAGTTATGTCGTTTTTTGGTATGTCCACGGGCACACATCATTTTGGCGGTGCATTTTGCATGTCGACGGACACATTCACTATTTTGCAAACAAAGACGGAAGCTTCGCAGCTTCCCCCATAGACACGGCGACGCCAGCAGAGAAACAGAGACTGAGGTTATGCAACTTCCTCCATAGACACGGCGACGTGAGCGCATGAAAACGAACGAGGTTTTGCAGCTTTCCCCATAAACAAGGCGACGCCATAGGACAAGCAGAGACGCAAGTTTCGCAGCTTCCCCCATAGACACGGCGACGCTAGAACGAGGTTTTGCAGCTTCCCCCATAGACACGGCGACGCCAGCAGAGAAACAGAGATTGAGGTTATGCAACTTCCCCCATAGACACGGCGACTTGAGCGCATGAAAACGAACGAGGTTTTGCAGCTTTCCCCAGAAACAAGGCGACGCCATAGGACAAGCAGAGACGCAAGTTTCGCAGCTTCCCCCATAGACACGGCGACGCTTGAGCAATGTTTTGCAGCTTCCCCTATAGAGACGGCGACGCCAGCGGAGAAACAGAAACTAAGGTTATGCAGCTTCCCCCATAGACACGGCGACGCCATAGGACAAGCAGAGACGCAAGTTTCGCAGCTTCCCCCATAGACACGGCGACGCTAGAACGATGTTTTGCAGCTTCCCCCATAGACACGGCGACGCCAGCAGAAAAACAGAGATTGAGGTTATGCAACTTCCCCCATAGACACGGCGACGTGAGCACATCAAAACGAACAATGTTTTGCAGCTTTCCCCATAGACACGGCGACGCCAGCGGAGAAACAGAAACTAAGGTTATGCAGTTTCCCCCATAGACACGACGACGTGAGCGCATCAAAACGAACAAGGTTTTGCAGCTTTCCCCATAGACAAGGCGACGCCATAAGACAAGCAGACACGGATGTTTTGCAGCTTCCCCCATAGACGCGGCGACGCTTGAACGAGGTTTTACACCTTCCCTCATAGACACGGCGACGTGAGCACATCAAAACGCACGAGGTTCTGCAGCTTTCCCCCATAGACACGGCCACGCCATTGGACAAACAGAGACGCAAGTTTTGCGGCTTTTCCCATAGACACGGCGACGCCATAGGACAAGCAGAGACGAAGGTTTTGCAGCTTCCCACATAGACACGGCGACGCTTGAGCAATGTTTTGCAGCTTCCCCTATAGAGACGGCGACGCCAGCGGAGAAACAGAAACTAAGGTTATGCAGCTTCCACGATAGACACGGCGACGCCATAGGACAAGCAGAGACGCAAGTTTCGCAGCTTCCCCCATAGACACGGCGACGCTAGAACGATGTTTTGCAGCTTCCCCCATAGACACGGCGACGCCAGCAGAGAAACAGAGATTGATTATGTAGCTTTGGCATTTCGAATATTTTGCATATCGACGGGAACATTTTTTTTGCATGTCGACGGAGACAATCTCCTTTGGCATGTCGACGGGAACTTTTTTTGCATGTCGACGGAGACAATCTCCTTTTGCATGTCGACGGGAACATTTTTTTGCATGTCGACGGAGACAATCTTTTTTTGCATGTCGACGGAGACAATCTTTTTTGCATGTCGACGGGAACAATCTTTTTTTGCATGTTGACGGAGACATCCCTTTTTGCATGTCGACGGTCGTTTTGGCATGTCGACGCCGTATCCCGCTTTGTACATTTCGAGTTGGAAACGTGCTTCGCGCCACATCTGCGTGCACTTTCTCGACATCTCAACTTCCAAAATGCTCCGAACCTGGTGTGCTTTGTACATTTTCACTTGGAAACGTGCTTCGCGCCACAACGGCGTGCAATTTTTCATCTCTCATCTGGCCAGATGGCTCCGAACCCGCCGCTTTAGCGAGCCTACTTTTCGACCCTCCGGAGCCACAAATCATTGGAGAAACACAGTGTTTCCTACCTTTTCGCGCACCTGTATCTTCTTTCTTCTGACTCTTTCTCTTGACTATTCTCTTCTCTGATCTTCTCTTCCCTGACTCTTCCCATCTCTGCTTTTCATCTGTCCATATTGTCGGAAGTTTGACTTCTAAACTTCCTTCGGTAAACTGGAAAGCCAGCGTTGTATAAAGCCATCTTCCAGGTCCAAGGGCGTGCTTCTTGCGCAAGACACGGCTTTATTCCCCATGGTCGGTGTATAAAGCGGCGACCGGAAGCCCACTTTATAAGCGCAAAATAGCGCAAAGGATGTCCACTTCATATATGCATGGGGGATGTGTAATCTAGTGGTAGTTGTAGTTGTAGTTGCAGTTGTAGCTGTAGCGTAATGCAATGTGATCAGTGTAGTGTAGTGTTGTGTAATGTAGTCTAGTTGTAGTTGTAGTTGCATTTGTAGTTGTGGCGTGCTGCAGTGTAATTAATGTAGTGTAGTGTACTGCAGCGTAGTTGTAATTGTAGTTGTAGCTGTGGTAGCAGTAGTTGTAGTTGTAATGTAACTGGCGGGTGTAGCGTAATTAGATGTAATTAGTGCGGTGTAGTGGGGTGCAGTGTATAATGTAGAATAGAGTAATGTATCGTAGTATATTTGCATTTGTAGTTGTGGCAGTAGTGTAGTGGTAGTGGTAGTTGTAGTTGTCTATCTATGTATCTTTCTATCTATCTATCTATCTATCTATCTGCTAGCTTGAAAACAACATCAAAAATACAGCAATTCTGCGAGACTTCCTCAATTTTTGAACTTGACAACGTTAAAAGCGAAATAATTCTGCGAGACTTCCTCAATCTTCGAAGTTGACAAGAGCAAAAACAAAGCAATTCTGGGAGACTTCCTTCAAAAATTGATAGTTGAGTGCCGGGCTGACGGCCTCGTACCAATGCGTTTTGCGATGTTTCCACTCCATCTGTCTAAAGTATTGCGCCTGCCACAAAAAGTGATGCCAAGTCATACGAAGTGCTGCATGTCACGCAAAAAAACATCTTAGCAAACCTGAAGATCTGATACTCCAAAATGCAACCGCTTTTCAGGATCTCTGATGAAATGTCTCTTGTACTGCGCCTGCCAAGCAAAATACATCTTTCCAGATCCTCTTCAAATGCCCCAACGCCTGTCATCGTTTTTGGACATGCAACAAGGCCCTCACATTTTGCTCCCTTTTGACAAAGTGCAAAATCCCTTGTGCCTGCCACGAAAAACGACATCTCAACGTCCAAAAGTGGTCCGAACCCGTCAGCTTTTTGACACTTTTGACTTCGAAATGTGCTTCGCGCCACAACGGCGTGCACTTTTTCAACATCTCAACTTCCAAAAGTGGTCCGAAACCGTCAGCTTTTAAACACTTTTGACTTCGAAATGTGCTTCGCGCCACAACGGCATGCACTTTTTCGACATCTCAACTTCCAAAAGTGGTCCGAGAATGGTGTGTTTTTTGTACATTTTGTGCTTTGTACATGTTGACTTCGAAATGTGCTTCGCGCCACAACGGCGTGCAATTTTTCATCTCTCATCTGGCCACATGGCTCCGCACCCGCCGCTTTAGCGAACCTACTTTTCGACCCTCCGGAGCCACAAATCATTGGAAAAACACAGTGAATCGCGACTTTTCTACCTTTTCGCCCACCTGCATCTTCTTTCTTCTGACTCTTTCTCTTGACTATTCTCTTCTCTGATCTTCTCTCTTCTTCTCTTCTCTTCTCTGACTCTTGCATACTCTTCCCACCTCTGCTTTTCCATCTGTCCATATTGTCGGAAGTTTGACTTCTAAACTTTCTTCGGTTAGAATGTTAAAATCATCGCCCGGCACTGTGCCCCCATCACTCACCAAGCAGTTCCAATTCTGCCGATCCGGAAGTAAGAGATGCATTTCCCGATGCCACGAACGCTTGACATCGCTTGACAATGTTTGTCAATTTCATGATAGATGAGGTTAATTAGGGGGATATATTGATCCCTTGTCCACAAAAAGCATGGTGGATCATGGTGGAGGCTGGTGCGTTTGTTTCGAGAGCCATCATACGGGGAAGTATGCATCATAGTTGGATCTTTGGCTGCGGCCTAATTGGCAGTTGATACAAGAAGGCCGCGCGGCCTATCTATGCACATTGATGAGACATTCTGAGAGGCACCTCCTGTTGGAAGTACCTACTCAAACCCGAGATTCACGCAAGGTCAGTGCTGCATTATCAGATCCAACAAATGCCTCTCCTCAATCATCCAAATAGGTTCAAAATAGGTTCACGCTGATTGTGAAGATTGTGGTATCAGAACAACGATTCCCACCAGCAAGCGGCACTCCATGCCAGCATTCCCGCAAATCAGGGAATACCATCGCACTGCTGGTGTTGAATCATGTTGAATCTCCGGTTTCACTGCGTGAGTGTGTGATCTGGCACAGGTCGAGCCAGGACTGTGCAGCTAGTGATGCTAGTGCCACTCATGTGGCAAGATAGTAAACATGGACTGGGATAAGGTCGAAATTCAACCTGTTTCAGTGCGCATCTTTTTTTACGAGTGTGGTCGGTGCACCACAATCAATATGATCTCTTATCCGAGCCCAATCCAGCCACTAGTCAGAGCTTGGCTCGACGCAAACTTAATTTTGTTTGTTGCCGTCGTCCTTGCTATCACTAAGCCGTGTAGGCTCCAGGGCTCCAGCTGATGCAATGTGGCAATGCGTCACATGTTACTAGGCCTTCGAGTGAGCACTGGCATGACAGCAATGACAATTCAAAATGCACAGTTGAAGAATATGAACAATCCCTCGTTTTGCAATCATTTGCAATCTGGATTGTCTAGACATGTCATGACATGTCTTGACCGTGCCTTTCAACGAACCCGAGGCTGAACTCGAGGCTGATCGGAGGCCAGCCATGCCCGACACCCTGGTGACACTTCTGCATCCTGAATCTGGTAGGAAAACCAACAAAGCACAGGAATGCACAGGAAACATCTGAAGCAAAATCCCAGTGCAAATACCAATCGCAACACCGTAGACAACCTCTCAACTCTCAACCCATGAAACCTTGATGATCCTTGATGCATCCTGCAGATGTGGACTCATGCAATTCCCATCCAAATTCATATGCTCCAAAACTCTCCAAACCATCTTTCACAAAAGCACATTGCAAGCAAGATTCGACTTCTAGGCCTTGGCTGAGCTGCACTTAGCCATGTGAAACGCACCATCTGCTGGAATATCAACAAGAAAAGTTACGGAAAAGAGGAGGCATTTCTTTGGCCCGACGTGGCTTTAAACCTGGAGAATACACTCGATTTTTTGACTATTAATTTAATCTAGCTCAGCTGAATCTTTCTGGAAAGTGCATCATGATGCAACATGGCTTCATGCCTCTACATGGTGCAGTGGTGCAACCAACTGTAGCCAAGTCATGCCAAGTCTCTGTACAGAATGAAGCGGTTTGCAAACGGACGCTTGCGCACCAGTTCATCAAGCGCCTGCGGGGAAGTCTCTGAAGGCCCAGGACTAGGCAATGGGCCTTAGCTCGTTGTGGAGATGAGCCGAAATAGCCCGGCGTCCATCACCAAAGACATGACGAGTGGATGGATGAATGAATCGTGCGGATGTACCATTGCAGCACATAACAAGCACACTAGTCCATAAGTTTCACATCGCGCCAAAGCCTCAAAACCCCTAGCTGACAAGAGGCTGATGTTGCTCCGGCGGCTTCGGGCCTAGCAGCTATGACTTTGGGGAGAGACTTCGATCTGTTTCGCAATGGCATTTTTGGGCTCCTCGAAATGTTCAGTTCCCTGTGCAGCAGAGTAGCTGATTCGGGCGTTGCAGACTTTGTCTCAGCTGAGCACCATCGACCACTCCACTTCAATAGCTTCAGAAAATATTGCAGAGAACCTGCGCGGCGCGGGATAAGCCAGATTATTGCAGCACACACAGAAGAGGTATATGCATCTGCGCGTCCTCTATGACTATTGTGATATATTATGATACTGCATGGGCAACGAGTGGAGATTCATCTTCTTGGACTTGATGGAGTTCACTGGATGCCACGGCTCGGGATATCCTAGGCCCAACGATTTTCCATTATATAATGTGGATGTATGTGGATTGACTGCGACAAGTCTGCAGACATGCACCCGGGGGGGACAAGGTGCCAGTCGAAGCATAGCATGTCTCAGGAAAGTGGGGTTGTGCAAGTCCCGGCCTTGCATCACAGATGAGTTGCTTGGTACAATGATACTGCTTGGCTTCTTGGTGTCCTGGAGTCGGAAATCTTCTGGAGTCACATTGCGCGCAACACTATTCAGGCATTGGATCGGACGGGGGGAATATAGCAAAATAATAGAGCCGCAAGTAGTATACAGTATGCAGTAAATAAATGTAAATAACATCAGAAACTGCAGCTACCTGAAGACTGGCGGCATTCTTTTCTGCGCAAGGGCAAGTCTGGAGGGAGACAAATCTTTGTGGTAGGACCAGCTGTCACACCCCAAGACAAAGCCGTAGCATATCTGTAGCTCCTTAATGCTCCTTAATCATCTGATACCTCACCAGCAATCCAGCTCAAATACTCAGAATTGCCACCTACCGCACTCCAGCTGGCTGAAATGCTCGTGGTTGAAATCAAGGACTCTACCATTGCCTTGCCGGAGGCCGTAGTGTGAATTGCAGCCCTTCCATCATCATCCAGGTCCACGACGGCCACAAAGCGCTTCTTCAGCATCTCGGTGGCCACAGATCTCAACTCTTCATGGGGACCACTCAACTCGCCTAAAAAGAATTCTGCTTCACCGTCCAAGTCCAGATTCTCCACCAGAATCATCGGCTCATCACCTAAAGCCTCTCCGATCATTGAGGAGACAAGTAACATTGACCTCGGTGGCACCCACAGCGCAAGTGCTTGAGCTGCCATGCTGTCGTCACGTCGAAGACGCTCCACTTTCTTTTGCTCCAACCGAAGGCCCTCCGAAATTGCCAGCACCGCTCTGCCAACACGCTGAGCTGCATCTTCGGACACAGCAACTGTGGAAAGGCGGAGCCAGTCTGGAGGTGGAAAGCTGCCGCTGCGCAGGGCATCATCGACCGCTTCGCCCACTGAGGCGTGACGGACCAGCCGTGATCTCGGCGCACTGACTGAGACAAAGCCGGACCAGCCAGACCATTGAGATCCTTCAGGGCCTTCGAAGCCTTCAGAGCCCAAACACAGAAGTGCCGTCACCACGACCCATCTGACCCATCTGACCCATCTGACCCATCTGACCCATCTGACCCATCTTGGTTTCCTGACTTCTCTCTGGTCTATGTGCTCTATCCTGCTTGTTCTTGACTTTGATCTGGCCAACCACAACGGCTGGGCCAAGTCAAGGCATGACTCAGCAAGTGACATGGCACAAGTTACGTGCCGTTCACAGCTTGGTTGCCTGGCTCATGCTGTCGCGGTGCAACGCGCAAAAAAACGTCCCAGCCAAGCAGCAGCGTCTAAGACAGTGTTGAAATTGTTGAAAAAGAGAGCTTGTTGCGCTGCAGATTGCGCTGCAGACATCTGAGACAACCACAACATGACAGAAATCGCACCTTTGACCAGAATCAAGAAATGGTGGCTCTTCATATCTCTTCATACTTATCACTACCTGGGAATGCCTGGGTGTATGAAGTGAATGTACAATGTACCGCTTCCAAGGTCCTCACCTATCATCTGAATCATCATGTTTCCCTGTGTTTCTTCATGTTTCTTGATGTTTGTCCCCTTCCGCTCTTCTCCTTCTTACTCCGTCGCCGTTTGGGCACCAGTGGCACTTGGCTGTTGGAGCTCCTTACGTCGCTGGACGGGCAAATTGCGGCAAACATCAACATTCGACGCATTTGACGCATTCGACGAAGTGACTGAGGATGTTCGAGGTGCTTCGAGGTGCTGCCAGGTTTCTGGGTGGAGACTGATGCCAAGCTGGTCTCTGAATGAAGGGGTGGACCTGGAGCTGGTCAAAGATCTGCACACGAAGAGGATATGTCTTGACACTAAAAAATGGGGGAAAACAATGAAAAACATCTGTAAAAATCTCAAACTCGCTCCGCCTTCCGATGTCTTGTCCCACGGGGCTGCATCGCAAGCGGATTGCACTGAAGTACGGCTTCCGGCCGCAGTCCTAGTGAAACAGGACATCATCCCATCGCTTGATGTCTGGAGTCCATCAGATGGTGTGTAAATTGTGTAATGCTTAGTGATGATGATTAATGATTGAATATTCTGAATATAATTTTAAAATTTTAACGAAATTACACAAGGACTCAATATGACTCAATGACAATGCGGAGCTTCATGATGCTTCATGCAATACTTACACAATGTGAGCGGTCAACAGCGGTCAAGCTCCACCTGTTGTGCCTTCGAGAAGGCAAGTCTTGAAAGACGCGATGGCCAGCTTGAGCCTTGGATGTGACACAGAAATCGTCACAATTTCACAGCATTTTGCCTCAAATTCTACCACTTCTTGCACCAAATATAGTAATTAGAAAGGATTGAAATAGAATGACTCAAATCTTGTCTGCATGTTTCTGCTTGTGGGGCTCACTCGGGTGCATTGGATGCATGTTAAACTGCAGCCAAGCCCGGAACCATGCGAGTCTTCAGGAGTGCAAACGGCTTGGGCCAAAACTTCTAACACAACACAGCTCCAAGACCTTTACAAATTCAGATCTCAGCACTTCTACGGATAGTCCTTACCAGGGGGGCAAACCCTTTCCCAGGATCGGAAGACTCAGAGCGGCAGCAAAATAAATAGCCATTCCAAGATTTTCCCGAGGCTCCAAGCACAAGGATGAGGACATCATACCTCCAGAGCGCAAAGCCAAGCAGAATTGCTCAAGAAGTAGCCCATGGCAGAGGCTGAAAGAGCCTTTTTTTTGCGCAATGTGCGTTGGAGAGTGACAATATTGGCTGCCTTTGAGACCTAATCAAACCACTCAATCCGATTCCAGGCAGTCTGATCTAATCACTGGTCTTCATCAACCCAGCACTGCGAATTTAGCAAGATTGGAACAGTCAAGGTAGCAACAAGTTGACCAAAGAATGACCCGAGAATCGTGTTTGACGGGATTTGGTCAAAGATTCGACAAAACTCGCAGAAAGTGCTGGGTATCACATTGGCGCGGCAGTTGGTCTGCCAAGTGCATTGATCCTCAAGATTACACCACTCGCGGAGACATGACAGCAAAGGCATAGTGCGGCCAGCACTTGCCCTTCTGCCGTGGCACATTGCCTAGTGCCTATGCCGCTGACCGATAGGCAATGTCAGAACACATCTGGATACATTACGTCAATCATAACATGATCGAGTGCGTATAGACAATTGGCGACAGGTCACAGGTCTGGGAAAAACACAAACTGCCACACTCTCGGTCAGCTGAAACACTACCTCCCAGTGTTCTCAATCCATGCAGCTTGTGCACCACCGCTCATCTTTGGCACGTACTCTTCATTCTTTGAAGGTCGATGTCAAATGTATTGTCAAATGATGTCAAATGTGTCGTCAAGTGTGCCCTGCTCAGTATGCTCACTCAATCTTTTCTGAAATTGGCCGGCCAAAGGTTCACAAGGCGTTGGAACGCAAACTGCAGGATACTCTGTGCAAACAGATCGGTCCACATCAGGGCTGACGGCATTGCCTGGGCAAGCCATGGCAAGGCATATTTATGGCTATGCATATGCCATATCCTGCCATATCCCATATGCATCCATATGTAGCATATTAGCACATGACGACTGTAAAGCCTTGGAAAACTGCTCAGTCTCAATCCAAGCAGCTGGCAACAGTTTGCAATCGTGAAATGTCGTGAATATGTTTGAATTGGGCTCCCAGCCATAGCTCTGGTGCCGAATTCGCTGCACTTAGCTTTTGCGGGGGTGCAAGGATTTCCTCTGAGCAAGTCAGGCTTACCTTGGCCGCTCTCACTGTGTGGCGGAAATGGGCCTCGTTGTGTGTCCGAATCGCCTCTTTTTAACTCGTTCCCTTTTCTATGTTTGCATACCAGGTTGCCAGCCGTATCCGCCATAGCCACCAAAGCCACCTCCTTTGCCCTTCATTCCCTTGCCATAGGGGCCCATCATTCCTTCGCAAGACACTTGGGTGTTTGGACAGGCAGCTACATCAAATCCATGTACATAACTGGAAGTTGGTTGTGTTGTTCATGCTGGTTGTCATTCTGAATGTGCAAAAAAAAACGGGCTTTTTTGTGTAATTTTGTGTATCTCTTCAGTGTTTTGCATGCTGGGATTGCTATTCTGAGTGTGCATAAAACACGTTTTTTGTGTTTTATTGGTGTGCATAACATGGACTTTCTTTTTATACATGCTGGGATTGTCACTCGGAGTGTGCATTAAAAAAAAAACACGGGCTTTCGTGTGTTGGACATGCTGGGGTTGTCTTTGTGTAGCATGTATAACACAGAAAAGCCATAGTTTTTCACACCCAGAACGACAATCCCAGCACGCAAAACACAAAAAAAGACAACTTCAGCATGTGCCAGCAGTATGTATAATATAATTGGTGCGACACTAAAAAACCAGAAAGGTGAGCAATCAAAATAATCATCAATACCCAAATATCCCATAGACAGGCAACTTTGATCCTACAGTTTCATGAGGCCTTAAAATTTCATAACAACTGGAATAGTCCTCCACACTTTGCCATCAAGGCACCTTTCATCATACCCATGCCGCCCATACCGCCCATGCCGCCCATTCCTTTCAGTGCACGCGGCATTCGTGTGACATTCCCCTGTGCTTACTCATCAACTCTCTCGTGAAATCCGCAGCAAATCTCTTTCACTCTGGCCCAAAGCGCGCCTCCCATCCCCATGCCCATGCCTCCGTAGCCTTTTCCCATTCCACCTCGGCTCAAGCAGTGAGGTCGCAAAGTAGTCAACATTAGTAATTAAAGAATATTAAAGAGTTAATTAAGTTAAATATATAAATTAGTCAACTTTTTCCGAAAAACAGCAAAGCTTTGGCAGCTGTAATTCATCTGCAATACGCTGCCATCCAAGGATCCCATGCCAGGCTGGCTCATTGGCGCTGTGCCGCCTGTGCAATTCTTGGCCTGGTACCTTGGGAAAGAACAAGCAATGAGATGATATGAGATGTAATGCAAAATCGTCCATGGAAAGTTCTCTGAACGCATCGCAAGCTGGCAGCCAATTTTCACAAGCAAAGACAGTTCAACGCATTTGGAGTGGAGAAATCAGGGCCATCTCAAATCTCAGCTGGTGACTGCCCAGGCTTTGTTGGGCTCGGCTCCAGGTCGAACTTCACGATGTCGCCAGCGTTTGGAAGAGTTCCTTTCAAGATCAAGGGCATCAATCATCAATCCAACCTGACTAAATGAATCCAAATGAATCTCTAAATACAGTACATTCAACATCATTCAACTTGCCTATCAGAATCCCCTGAATGGCCCTGAACATGTATTGAACATGTCAACGCGTCCAATGTCTCGCGACTTGTTTGCCTACGCAGCCCTTCTGGTGGACGAAGATCTGGCAGGAAGAGATCAAGAACTCTGACCCTAGGCCCTGTTGCAATTAGCAAGCAACTCGTGCTGTAAATCATCAAGTGGGAGTATAGAGGGACCCTGTTCGGGCATTAAGTATATTAGTGGAACAACGCACAGACTCACAACCACATGCAACTTCACATTAAGCAGGTGCCATCTCAAGCAACATCAGAGAACCTCAATGAATCTCACAAGTCTCAGGCAAGGCACATCGTCCATACCCTCCACTTGAATGAAGCCGAAGCCCTTAGTAGCCTCAGTACTCAGCCCCCATCGTCCAGATTCTTCCGGGATATGCTTCAACATGCTTCAACATGCTTCAACACAGATTTTTCGCTTCAGAAAGATGCTGTTTTCTACATGCTTTGGCTTTGACAGCTTCACAATCTTCACAGTTTGTGGTAGCACGTGCTGGCTCTGCAAACACCTACTGACATGCTGCTTCTGTGTCACAACGGGAACCAGGCATTGAAAGACTTCACTGTGCCTGGCTCCAGGGCTCGACAGGCTCAATGTGACTCAGAAATATTGAGAAGGCACACGAAGGCACAGTGCAGGTTTGGTAAAACTTTTGATTGTGGTAGCGTGTTGTCCTCACATCACACATTTGTTCCAGCACCGTCAAACGGCCCGCCTGAGTATGCACCAGTACCATTCACTGGTGTGACCTGTTGTGGCACCAAACATCTTGCCATCCAATGTCCATCAGAGGAGCTGTGAAGCTGCTAATCTGGGTTTAGAGTCTGGGGTCTTGGAGTGAGGCAGACTGTCCGATGATGATTAGAATCTTAGAAGTGCCCTGCCTTGCCCATCATGGCATCCTGCATTCTTGGGGCAGACCCTCCGTTCACATTGGTCGCCTTTCACAGCGGTAGTCAAACGGCAAACCAAAGAACTGCACATCTTGGATAGATAACAACAAATGCTACGGAGATCCATGCCTTGTACTTTCCAGGTCTCGTCTCCTCCAAGTCAAATGTCAACCTTGTTCCGGCACAGAATCCATTCGACTAATTCCCAAGGCAGGGCCATCGTGATTGTGAAACTAGCAAATGCGCAGCAAAAGTCTTAGGAAGCGCCGTGGCTAGTCATTCAAGTTAGTGCCTCGGCATTTGTTAGGCAAGCTTGGGAAAACAACCGCAAAAAAAAACTCAGTGCTGCTTTGTAACGCATCACCTGTAGCTGGCTGACCGCCAATGCAATCGTTGATGTGGACAAACACATCCTGCAGCTGCGAACCGTGTCGAACAGTCTCAGGATCACTCCCGACAAAATGTTTTCAAAAGCCTCCGCCTTACAATATGCTGTCCTGACCGCCGTACTCGACGAACCCCCAGCCCTTCATCCCTGCAAAGGCTCTTGCACTATGGGTTTCAATTTTGCAAGCAGTATTGCAGCATTTTGCTGCATATAAATGCTTATTGCTGCATGCAGTCTTAGCAGGAACACATGCTTGTCAGCCGGGGCACCGTTGAAGGATTTGCATGTTCCTCAAGTGTTCAATGGCATGTCTTTGTTTCAGATCACCAGCGAAGGAACCAGAACAACAAAGAGCAACCATAAATGAAAATGTTGCAAAGCTTGCCCGCGTGATGTCACATCATGTCACATACAAATACGATCGGATTTGCCCAGCCACCTGACTGAGACATTGTGCAAGAGGAGAAGCAAGCAAGGCTGTAGAAACGGAAGGAGGCACTTTGGGCCAAAATTGCTCCCACAAACCACTCCTTTATGATCAATAAAGTTCAAGGCCATGCAAGATTCGTTCCCCCTGTGACTGCATCAACAAGGCCAGGGAATAGTCTAAAACAGTGATTCATTCAGAAATCCATGCAGACGGATTCGCGAAGGTTTGCACGCATGCGGCATGAAAGCCACTGCTACATTTGCCCAGATCCACCCAGATCCACCTTCAGTCTGTCAGTCTCGCGAGGGGCGTCAGGCGTGAACATCTGGCATCTGAACGTCAAAGGCGGCCAGGCCGCCATGGAAAATGTGTGTGTGCGCAGTGTGGTGTCTTGTTACGTATCAACACCTGGGAAGTTCAAGAGCATTGCTGTGGCATCTTTGAGCCAAACAGGTGTGAACAATCCGAAAGTCCAACTTGTGCACCACCGCTCATCTTTGGCACGTACTCTTCATTCTTTGAAGGTCGATGTCAAATGTATTGTCAAATGATGTCAAATGTGTCGTCAAGTGTGCCCTGCTCAGTATGCTCACTCAATCTTTTCTGAAATTGGCCGGCCAAAGGTTCACAAGGCGTTGGAACGCAAACTGCAGGATACTCTGTGCAAACAGATCGGTCCACATCAGGGCTGACGGCATTGCCTGGGCAAGCCATGGCAAGGCATATTTATGGCTATGCATATCCCATATGCATCCATATGTAGCATATTAGCACATGACGACTGTAAAGCCTTGGAAAACTGCTCAGTCTCAATCCAAGCAGCTGGCAACAGTTTGCAATCGTGAAATGTCGTGAATATGTTTGAATTGGGCTCCCAGCCATAGCTCTGGTGCCGAATTCGCTGCACTTAGCTTTTGCGGGGGTACAAGGATTTCCTCTGAGCAAGTCAGGCTTACCTTGGCCGCTCTCACTGTGTGGCGGAAATGGGCCTCGTTGTGTGTCCGAATCGCCTCTTTTTAACTCGTTCCCTTTTCTATGTTTGCATACCAGGTTGCCAGCCGTATCCGCCATAGCCACCAAAGCCACCTCCTTTGCCCTTCATTCCCTTGCCATAGGGGCCCATCATTCCTTCGCAAGACACTTGGGTGTTTGGACGGGCAAAACTGAACTCGACAAGAGCTGCTAGGCAACTGCTTTTTTAATCACAACTTCATGAAACTTTCAAGTTTCATAGCAGCTTGAACCGGCTTGAACGGTCCTCCACCTCCTGCCATCATGCCACCTTTGAGGCCACCCATCATACCCATGCCGCCCATACCGCCCATGCCGCCCATTCCTTTCAGTGCACGCGGCATTCGTGTGACATTCCCCTGTGCTTACTCATCAACTCTCTCGTGAAATCCGCAGCAAATCTCTTTCACTCTGGCCCAAAGCGCGCCTCCCATCCCCATGCCCATGCCTCCGTAGCCTTTTCCCATTCCACCTCGGCTCAAGCAGTGAGGTCGCAAAGTAGTCAACATTAGTAATTAAAGAATATTAAAGAGTTAATTAAGTTAAATATATAAATTAGTCAACTTTTTCCGAAAAACAGCAAAGCTTTGGCAGCTGTAATTCATCTGCAATACGCTGCCATCCAAGGATCCCATGCCAGGCTGGCTCATTGGCGCTGTGCCGCCTGTGCAATTCTTGGCCTGGTACCTTGGGAAAGAACAAGCAATGAGATGATATGAGATGTAATGCAAAATCGTCCATGGAAAGTTCTCTGAACGCATCGCAAGCTGGCAGCCAATTTTCACAAGCAAAGACAGTTCAACGCATTTGGAGTGGAGAAATCAGGGCCATCTCAAATCTCAGCTGGTGACTGCCCAGGCTTTGTTGGGCTCGGCTCCAGGTCGAACTTCACGATGTCGCCAGCGTTTGGAAGCGTTCCTTTCAAGATCAAGGGCATCAATCATCAATCCAACCTGACTAAATGAATCCAAATGAATCTCTAAATACAGTACATTCAACATCATTCAACTTGCCTATCCGAATCCCCTGAACGGCCCTGAACATGTATTGAACATGTCAACGCGTCCAATGTCTCGCGACTTGTTTGCCTACGCAGCCCTTCTGGTGGACGAAGATCTGGCAGGAAGAGATCAAGAACTCTGACCCTAGGCCCTGTTGCAATTAGCAAGCAACTCGTGCTGTAAATCATCAAGTGGGAGTATAGAGGGACCCTGTTCGGGCATTAAGTATATTAGTGGAACAACGCACAGACTCACAACCACATGCAACTTCACATTAAGGACTCAGGCAAGGCACATCGTCCATACCCTCCACTTGAATGAATCCGAAGCCCTTAGTAGCCTCAGTACTCAGCCCCCATCGTCCAGATTCTTCCGGGATATGCTTCAACATGCTTCAACACAGATTTTTCGCTTCAGAAAGATGCTGTTTTCTACATGCTTTGGCTTTGACAGCTTCACAATCTTCACAGTTTGTGGTAGCGCGTGCTGGCTCTGCAAACACCTACTGACATGCTGCTTCTGTGTCACAACGGGAACCAGGCATTGAAAGACTTCACTGTGCCTGGCTCCAGGGCTCGACAGGCTCAATGTGACTCAGAAATATTGAGAAGGCACACGAAGGCACAGTGCAGGTTTGGTAAAACTGTTGATTGTGGTAGCGTGTTGTCCTCACATCACACATTTGTTCCAGCACCGTCAAACGGCCCACCTGAGTATGCACCAGTACCATTCACTGGTGTGACCTGTTGTGGCACCAAACATCTTGCCATCCAATGTCCATCAGAGGAGCTGTGAAACTGCTAATCTGGGTTTAGAGTCTGGGGTCTTCGAGTGAGGCAGACTGTCCGATGATGATTAGAATCTTAGAAGTGCCCTGCCTTGCCCATCATGGCATCCTGCATTCTTGGGGCAGACCCTCCGCTCACATTTTTTGCCTACAAGAAGCACAGTTGTAGTCGGACGGCAAGCAAAAGAACTCCACATCTTGGACAAGCAACAAATTAACAAATGCTCGAAGCCTTGTACTTTCCAGGTCCTGTCTCCTCCAAGTCAAATGTCAACCTTGTTCCGGCACGAGGCAAAACAAGTGACGTTGACTGCGTTGACTGCGTTGACTGCTTTCAGAATCCATTCGACGAACCAAGGCTGGGCCATCGTGAAATTACTAATCATTCAATTTAGTGACTCAGTACTAGGCAAGCTTGCAAATCTTGCAAAACAACCGCAAACAAAAAACTCAGTGCTGCTTCGTCACGGGTCACCTGGAGCTGGCTGACCACCAATGCAATCCTTGATGTGGACAAACACATCCTGCAGCTGCGAACCGTGTCGAACACTCTCAGGATCACTCCCGACAAAATGTTTTCAAAAGCCTCCGCCTTACAATATGCTGTCCTGACCGCCGTACTCGACGAACCCCCAGCCCTTCATCCCTGCAAAGGTTCTTGCACTATGGGTGGGTTTCAATTTTGCAAGCAGTATTGCAGCATTTTGCTGCATATAAATGTCTATTGCTGCATGCAGTCTTAGCAGGAACAAATGCTTGTCAGCCGAGCCACCGTTGAAGGATTTGCATGATCCTCAAATTCTCACTTGATTGTCTCTGTTCCAGATCATCAGCGAAGGAATCAGAACAACAAAGAGCAACCATCAAAAAAAAAATGGTTGCGAAGCTTGTCCACATGCTGTCGCATCCTTTCATGTGCAGACATGATTGGATTTGCCCAGCCACCTGACATCGACATTGTGTAAGAGGAGAAGCAGGCAAGGCTACAGAAACGGAAGGAGGCACTTTGGGCCAAAATTGCTCCCACATGCACCAACATGCAGCAACAAAACCAGGAGAACAATCTGAAACAGTGATTCATTCACAATCCTTGTATGCAGCCAGATGTGTGAAGGTGTGCAAGCATGCTACATGAAAGCCACTGCCAGATCCACCTTCAGTCTGTCAGTCATCCCGCAACTGGAGAGTTCAAGGGCATATTTGGTGACACGCTTGAGCAGCACATGGTGAAACAGGGCAAAGGCATTGACTTTCACGTCTTCCATGGATCCTGAACAAAGCAATTAGCCTGGCAAGCTTCAAGGACTTGGAACAAACCTTATTCCGGATGCAGAGATTATTGAACAATTAGTTGCTGTATATCATGTTATATCAATATCAGTGTTACAGTATTATAACTACAGTATAACTATAACCATAATAGTATTGTATCTACAATGGCCCGACAACTTCCCCTCTTTTTTTGGTCCGAGGGTGACACAGAATGCATCTTCTAATGGAAGCTGCATACAAAGCCTTAGGTGCTTTGCACATTGCTTTGCAATCTAGAAATACCAGGCCACACATGAAGACTTACAAATCTTGCAAGCCTGAAGCGACTGTTGGATGTGCCCATCTTCCACCTCGCTCACCACTTCGTGGGTGGGATACGGAATTTCTTGGCTCCATCACGCGCGCCCGCAAGGGACCACGGCTATATACCCATGGCAGGTCTGCACTCGGCGCCGTTGACGCCGTTGCAGTCAGAACTGGACTTCCTTTGGCACCTACTTCTGACCTGAGGGCTACCGTCGGGCTCGCATCTGGGCTTGATGAGGGCGGAGGTGCTTCGTCCGGCTTTCTAGGTACGTAGGATCTGGGCTGCGAGGTTCTAGGGGTAGGGGTTCTAGGTCGGTTGCTCCGGGGCGTCTCTGGTCGAATCTGCGGGTTTGAATTTCTCTGGCTGGACAAAGGTACAGGCCCCGAAGACCCCAAAGGCCCTAGTGGCCCTGAAGGCCCCGGTGCAGACGCAGAGCTTGGTGGCCCTCGTGCACTCAGTGCTCCCATGACACGAGCAACATGTTTTCCAGCTTGTGTTCCTGGAGCACGCGCACTAAGTGGCCGCTTCACTTCAAAAACACTCCGGGGCAAAGACTTTGTCACTGTTGCCATGTTGGCAGGGTTGGCCGATACGGGTCGACGACGGACAAATAGCTTTTCAGAAGAGCTGGAAGAGCTTCTGGAAGTTTCCCGTAGCTTTGACGGGACCGAGTATCGAAGCTCTGTCCGATGGCTTACCCAGTCATGTGAGCAAACATGACATGTCCCTGGATCATGGTACGTCTGACACATGCACCCCGCAACCTTGCATGCAAAGAAGGCCTTTGCACTGTGCTCGACGCTTCTATGACCGCACGTGCAGGTTGAGTACGGTCGGACATAGTTGAAGCGGACGCATAAACATCCGGGCTTTTCACATCTTTCCCACCCATCCTTGGACGGAATTCCAAGATGTCTGTGGTCACTCAAAGGATGTCCGCAAAAGCAAAGAGTGTGGGGTCCAGGCTGAACACATGGGATCACCCTGTCCTTCCGGGCCCCTGGAGAGTAGCCGCCCATGGCTGCCATCTCGCACACATGACAAGCCCATACCACAATACGTGGTGGCTCAGAAGGCTGTACCGGAACCACACGTTCCACATTGTTGCACCACCGAGCCTGTCGAGCCTGTCGCTTTTGTCTCAGCAAATCTGGCCGGTCAAGGTCTGGTTTGGGATGTTTTGGAGGGGTTGGTATGAAACTTGTGCCCAGTAGCTTCTCCAACAAGAAGTTCTTGGCAGATGTGATGTCACGAAATCGCTGTTTTGCGTCGTCATCTCTCTTTCCACTGCTCTGCTGCTTGTCGGGATGGTAAAGCAAGGCCATACGCCGGTATGCACGCCGAACTTCTGCGGCACTGTATGTGTCCGTTTCTGCCAGCCCAAGCACATCGAGAGCACCGGATTCGTCCATGGCAATATGCACTTGGCCATTGCAAGACCTGCATGGAATGACAGGATATGCATATAAAGTTATAGAAATCTTCCCAAGAAAAGCTGCAGTAAAAAAAGCCTTTGGGCTGCAAGCTTAGAAATCTGCTCCAGAGAGTAGAATAGAAAGTCATAGGCCCATAGGTTGAACAATATTCAATAATGTTGCCCACTGGTTTCCGTGCACAAGCATTTAAATCAAGAGCTGCGCGTGAAGGAGGTGCTGGAGCCTGGGAGAGAAATGATGTGGCATATTTGTTGGTAACTCCAAACATGCTGCACTCTCCTGTGCAGAAGATGTGACACAGCTTTGCATGTCAATAACATGTTCATTCGTGTTCTATCTTCCATATTCTTCCATTAGCTGCCATTAGCTTCCATGTGAAGCTGCACATGCTGCACTCTCTTTTCCAGACACCGTGGTTCATCTGACGGAGGAAGACCGCTGATCTCCCGGACTTTGGATCAGACTGAGCCCACCAGCATGACACGCAGTCGTTGCCACTCCTGGCCAAGGAGGTGAAGTGCAATGTTCTGTATGGATCTGTATGCGGTATGGTTTGGATGTTGCAACCTTTTCCAGCATGTTGGGTTTACTGCGCACGTTTTCCTGACTTTCAAACGTGTTTTCAGTTCGATGTTCTTGGTATGTTGGTCAGGCGAAAAAGAAATACTCATTTTGTGCTGGTGCAATCATGAAGGGGCTCGTGTTGGCGACAGGAGTCACATTGATGGACTGGCAAGGCCGAACGTGATTTCCTCCCCCCCATCCCAACCCCATCCCAACCCCCACGTCATCCCAACCCCACCATCAATCCATCAACGTAATCGTTTTATTGAAACTGTGTGAAATCTCGGCAAACCCCGACGGTTCATCCAACATGTTGCAACTCAATCAATAAGAATTTTACAAACAGAATACGCTTGAGTCAAGGTGTCACAATGTATAGGCTCAAAAAAATGCACATCGCTTCCAACTGTTGCCGCCCGCAGCTTCACAGAAAGTCTGAAAAGACTCCTCTTCGGTAGGCAGCCCCCCTTTGCGCATGATGCGAGCCCTTCGTTCTGCATCTGGACTGCCTGGTGTTGGGTTCACCCTGGCCAAGTTGTTCAAATTGCCTCAGTCCACGTGGAGGTTGTGACCTCACTGTCATACCCATCGGAGGCCAGTTCCCTCCAATGTGGCATAATTACCTCCTATCAGCAAAGGTACCGTTATCCGTCACAGAAGGCAACTCCGGATCTGCCATCCTGAAGTCTCAACAAAGATCTGCAGCTTTGAACAATGGCTTTGCAACAAGTGTGGATGACCTGTTTCTGTCTTTTCTGTATGCGCCGGATGTGCAGCAAGGTGCCACTCGCCATCCACAATGAATTTGTACTGGTAGACACCAGGCGGAGTTTCTCTGTCGAGTACAAAGCCACCTGTCTTTGCATCCTTGACCTGCAGTCATTAGTTTTCACCAATTGAGTCAACAAGTGTGAGGACTTGAACAAGGTGAACATATTGGAAAACTTTTATGCTGAGGCACCAGAGGAATTCGCTCGTGCCAGCCCACATCCAGCCCGGCGATCTCAACCGTCTTGGCCTTGCCAGATGCGCATGATGCTGTCACTCAACAGACGCCAGGAATCACCAGGATGTGGGCACAATTGATACAATGACACGACCCATATCTGAGCAGCAATTTTGCCCCCCTCTTGCCTTTGGTTTCTTGATCGCTATGTGCAAATGGCCAGAGCCCATATCTCCTGACAACATATCCTCAGCTTTAGAGTTGGCAAGTTGACAAGATAGGGTTGGACACACGTAGACACCCCAGGCATTGGGCAGTCATCTCCGCACAGCTCAGGATCCGGCACATGCAGCCGCACGGACCATCTGCAATTGTGGGTGGCATCTCCGAGATTTGTACCTGAAGGATGCCCTGTCGATTCCACATAAAACAAAAGCCATGATATGCGTGGTATAGACTAAGATAGAGTAAGAGATGTAAGAGGTACAAAGGAGAAAGAAAAAACAGAAAGCCAGGAGGGAAACACTGGCACCAAGGCCGCGAATTGGGCACCAAGGCCTAAGGCCGGGTGCTGCCAAATAGATCCAAATAGTGCGTCTGAGTGACAGCTCGGCATAAGCTTCGTCCAGGTCCATGCCTTCAATCAAGAACCTTGGATCGCTCCAATGTGAAGGCAAAAAAGACTTGGCAGTATAAACATATCATATGCTTATCTTATGCTGCTAAGTCGTTATCACATCACAATTCATGACAGAACTTACAACATCTTACAACAATAGATGACAACTGCATTGTTCACAGCAACTGAAATTATCAACCATTCTGCAACTCCTAGCGGAACTGAGCGATCGTCCAGGCCACATGTAAGCCAATGCAGTGGCAGGCGCTCGGCCCAAGCCAGCAGTGCAATGGATGTAGACCAAGGCCTGAAGACATGACGCTCCCGACATCTCTCAGCACTGCACATGTTCGCTTCAGCTCGACTCGGCAATGTGATAGAATCTGATAGAACTCATGAAACAGGGAGACCTGGTACAGCTATGTACAGCTGGGAGTGGGCGTTCCACTGGGGTTTTTCAGTCTGTGGGACGCCTCCGGCCGTGCAGTCATCTCTGAAGCCAGGCATCGAACTGCATCAGGAATGTGCCTTGTGTCAAGGTGATGCGAACGATGTGCTGAAACAGTGGGTGCCAGTGATACCAGAATAGTCCCATATCATATCCATATAGTCATTCAGCTACCCTACCTTCGCAAGGAGAGTGGGTCGAAGTCCTTGATTGGATGCCTCAGCTCTTTCAGCTCTTGAAGACATGACAGACTTGACTTGCTTTTTCTGGCGTTGGGCCGTTTATCACTGCTGTTTGACACTGCCGACATTGTCGTGCGTGCCAAGGGGCCTTACATGCTTAACATCTAGCTCCACCGCACGCGCGAGTATTGGTTCCAAGTCAATGTTGAAGTGCGCCATGTCCTGCCACTGAACGAACCACAAACAGCATCAAACAACTGGAAGCCACTGATCAACAAAAAAAGAACTTACAGTAATCAATAAAACAAGTGACCGTGGCATCCAGTGAGACCATAGTTTCCTACAAGTACAGTACTTCAACGACGTATCTTCACCTTTCCTTACTACCAGTAGTGACTCTAGTGTGGCCTGTCTTGAGGCTGGGAAACAAGACATTCGGCAACAAACAGACCTTGTCTTCCTGGAGGCAGAAAACAATGCCAACACCCTCCTTCTTGAGCCTCGGGAGCATCAAACAACTCATGCTCAGGCTATCCCTATGAGGACATTGAAGTGGGTGATGTTTTTTTAAGATTTTGTTGTTTATTTGTTTTTTGTTTTTCAATCTGTTGCTATTTGCTACATTTTGGGGCTAAAATCTCTGATTTGCGTGCTATGTGCTGCATTTTGGAGCCAAAATCTCTGATTTGCATGCTATTTGCTGCATTTTGAAGCTAAAATATCTCTGATTTGCGTGCTATTTGCTGCGTTCATTTCGGAGCTGAAGTCGCAAATTTGGGTAGCTAAAATCGTAAATTTGCACGATAATTGCAACATTTTAGTTTTCACCAATTTTCCGATGGTTTTCAACGATGTCTGGATGGTTTTCATCGCTTTCTTGATCGTCTTCAATGATCTTTCAGTGGTTTCAAAGATTCTTTATTCTAGGGTTCTTGAGAGTTTTGGGTTTCATTTAGGGTTTCTTTAGGGTTTCATTGAGGGTTTCTTTAAGGTGTCGTCTAGGGTTTCTTTTAAGGTTTCTTTAGGGTGTCATTTAGGGTTTCCCTACGGTTTCATTGAGGGTTTCTTTAGGGTGTCGTTTAGGGTTTCATTTCGGTTTTCTTTTAGGGTTTCATTTCGGGTTTCATTTAGGGTTTCTTTAGGGTTTTATTTAGGGTTTCTTTAGGGTGACGTTTTTGGCTTCTTTAGGATGTCATTTAGGGTCTCTTTAGGGTTTCATATAGGGTTTCATTTAGGGTTTCTTTTAGGGTTTCATTTCGGGTGTCATGTAGGGTCTCTTTAGGGTTTCATATAAAGGGTCAACGCGTCATCTGCGCACATTGAAAGCGAGTCATCTGCGCACATTGCAAACGAGTCATCCGCGCACAGAGAAACCGCGTCATCCGCGCACAAAGAGCGGTCATCCGCGCACATTGATGCTGGGAACCAGCCATTTCGGGTTTGGTTGGGGTGGGGGGGTGGGGTGGGATGATAACGTTCATGTTCCTATGCACACACCGGCACAGCAACCTCATCATCTTTCTTGCTGTTGAGAAGAGACAGGCACAGCTCTTTCATGATCAGTTACCGGTGGGGTGGGGTGAGTTAATAAGGTTCATGTTCCAATGCCTGCACACGCACAGCAACCTCATCATCTTTCTTGCTGTAGAGCACTTACACGCACTGCTCTTTCATGATCAGTTACCCTTGGGGTGGGGTGGGGTGGGGTGGGATGCTAACGTTCATGTTCCTATGCACACACAGGCACAGCAACCTCATCATCTTTCTTCCCGTAGAGCAGAGACAGGCACAGCTCTTTCATGATCAGTTACCGGTGGGGTGGGGTGTTCATGTTCCTATGCACACACAGGCACAGCAACCTCATCATCTTTCTTCCCGTAGAGCAGAGACAGGCACAGCTCTTTCATGATCAGCTACCGGTGGGGTGGGGTGGGGTGAGTTAATTAGGTTCATGTTCCTATGCCTGCACACGCACAGCAACCTCATCATCTTTCTTGCTGTAGAGCACTTACACGCACTGCTCTTTCATGATCAGTACTTCCTAGATGAGAGGAGTTGTGTGAAATGAGTTGTGTTAGTTGTGAGATGAGTGGAAATACGTGAGATGAGTTGTGTGAGTTGTGAGATGAGTGGAGTAGTGTGAGATGAGTTGTGTGAGTTGTGAGATGAGTTGTGTGAAATGAAATGTGTGCATTGTGTGAGACAACTTGAGTGAAGTTGAGAGAGAAAGAAGCAACTCAGGAGGAGAAGGAGGAGAAGGCAAGGAATACAAACATAAAAACAAAAGCCCCACACAGAGATGTGAGGAAAAAACCATAACTTGATGAGTTGTGTGATGATGTTAAAAAAAAGCTAGAAGAAGAATCATGTTACAGAGCTACAATGACAAAATCACACAACAAAAACGTGCACAGACGACCAACCGTCTGACGTGCACAGACGACCCACTTTTGACGTGCACAGACGAACCCTGAACCTTCATATAGGGTTTCATTTAGGGTTTCTTTTAGGGTTTCATTTCGGGTGTCGTTTAGGGTTTCTTTAGGGTTTCATTTAGAATTCATTTAGGGTTTCATTTAGGGTTTCTTTAGGGTTTTATTTAGGGTTTCTTTAGGGTGACGTTTTTGGCTTCTTTAGGATGTCATTTAGGGTTCATTTAGGGTTTCTTTAGGGTTTCATTTAGGGCTTCATTTAGGGTTTCTTTAGGGTTTCTTTAGCGTTTCATTCAGGGCTTCTTTAGGTTTTCATTTGGGGCTTCTTTAGGGTGTCGTTTTTGGCTTCTTTGGGATGTCATTTAGGGTCTCTTTAAGGTTTCATTTAGGGTTTCTTTAGGGTTTAATTTAGGATTTTTTTAGGGTTTCATTTAAGGTTTCTTTAGGGCTTCATTTAGGCTCCCTTTAGGGTGTTATTTCGGTTTTCTTTTAGGGATTCATTTAGGGTTTCTTTAGGGTTTCTTTTAGGCTTTCTTTAGGGTGTCGTTTAGGGTTTCTTTTTAGGTTTCTTTAGGGTGTCGTTTAGGGTTTCTTTGAGCTTTTTTTATTGATGGTTTCGTTATCTGCTTACAACAGCATGCATACAAGCTCCTATACTCTATGTCTGTAGTTTTTGTGCAGTTTACATGAAATATATATGCAATGTATTACATGAAATGTTATATGCCATTATATGCAAACTACAATACTAAAACCCAACAAAGGCCAAGAGCCAAGTGAAGTGAACGGCCAAAACCAAAGCCAAGTGAAACCAAAACCAAAAGCCAAAAGCCATGAGCCAAGTGAAGCCAAAGCCAAAAGCCAAAAGCCAAAAAACAAAAGCCAAAAGCCAAAAGCCAAAAGCCAAAAGCCAAAAGCCAAAAGCCAAGTGGGCACGCAAATGGGAGATTCTAGCTCCAAAATGCATGCAAAACACAGATTTTTGCTCCAAAATGCAGCAAATAGCAAGGAAAGCTGCCCCAGGCTGACAAACAAAAAAAAAACCTTTAAAAAAACAAAAAAATACCCTCCCATTGAAGTTTCACTCAATCTCCAACAATGTGCCAATGCGCCAACAAAGAGGGTCTTGCACTCAGTACCAAGCGTATCCACATCTGAAGGCGATTGCAAACAGGATCCGACGATTATTCTCTCAAAGCATTTTGCATAATTCATCCCATCCTCGGCAGCTTCGTGGCAGCTCGTTGTTTCAAATTAACATTTACAGTATATAATGTTCTCGTTACGGTCAGCACTTTCTGCTGCGCGAGCTCCTCGTGTTTGTAGATGAGGCTGCTTTTCATTTCCTTCTTCCTTGGATTGCGCCCCCCTTCTCTGTGCAAATCCCAAATGTCAAACAGATTCCTCAACATAGACAAGGAACATTGTCTCAGAATATTTTGCTGATGCTGCAGCTGCATCCTTGTAACCCCCCGCCATGGCTGCAGGCCACTGGCTACAAGGTGCCAAATCAAAGCATGCAAAATGTGACGAAGCACATTTTAACTCTCCATGGCTTTGGACAGGTACATTCTTGGTCTGAATTCGGCCTAAATATTTCACACCGTGTCACCGTGCCGTTGCTAATTCTATATAGGTGTCAAACTCGCAAAAAGGTGCATATGGGCAGGGCGTATCTGCTAGAAACACATATAAACACACACAAACACGTACAAACACGTAAAAACATAAAATACATGGCCTTGGGCCAAATCTTTCGCGGGGAATGCTGTCAACTCGAATATGAAGCGCATCATGTGGGTCTTCTATAGTATCTATAGTCACATGCAGGCTCATACAGGCGCCCCACTCACCCATCCCACATGTCTGGGTCCCACCGAGAGCACTCTGCCCTGGATGTGAACCCGGGCAAGCCATGGCTGCTGAAGGGCAAATGTTGCTGGTGTGGTTGATGCCCTTGCTCCCCCTCTCGCTCTCTTGGTTTCTTAGTCCAGGGCAGCTACATACTATGTGCCTGAAAGATCCATACTGCTTTGCTGTATTTATATATTATTTACGGTACTTTGTTTGAATGCTGTGGATAAAGTGGTTTAAGTTTACTCGATTTTACAAGTCTCCCTGCGGTGTCAGGTGCGCTCATCATGATGTGGATGTTCAGCAGCCGCTCTGATTTTTCCAGGTAGTGGTCGAGGCTCACAGCTCACCACCTTTGCCTGCGAAGACCTTCTCATCCCAAGCCATGTCGCATCGGGGCATGTTCTTTCGCTTTTCCTTTTTAATGGCTTGCTCAGTGGCTGCCCATGCAACGAAAGTGTCAATAAACTCTTTTTGCGTCACATTTCCATCCTCGTTCAAGTCAAAAAAGTCAAGCTCCTGCTGGCTCAACTTCTCTGCCTTTTTGGTAAAGAGTTGCTCTGCCATGCTCTTGGCCTTGGTCAGGTCCTTTGAAGGCTTGGCACCTGGCCAACCTACCATCCACTCCCAGCATGCGTTCAAATCACCAACCCTCCTGAGGCGATTGTAGAAAGTCCGGTAGTAGCGAACAGGAATTGGAATGTCAAATTGGGTTGTCAACGCAACTGTGCACCCTTCAGCGGTGTTCAGAGTTTCGTGGATCCAACCAGGTGGAAACAAAACCGCTTCACCTTCCTTCAGAGAAAACTCAAACATGGGCTTCCAGCCCAGCTGGTAAGCCACGCCATCGTCAAAAACAACTTCACCATCCGGGGATCGTCCAGCACCTTTGGCTAGGCGTGGCACTGGGCCAATGCGCCATCTGCGCTCACCATGGAGCACCACGCTCAGGGTACTGATACAGTGCGAATCCATGTGCGCTCGTGCGCCTGTGCCTTTCGCGCCCATCCAAAATTCTGCATTGTCGAACAAAGATGCAGCGTTCTGCTTGTCCATGAAACTTGGAACGGAACTTGCAATCAGCTCTTGGATCCGCTTGACCACTTTCTTGGACCCAACGTCACCGTTTCGGTGCTCCCGCACACCCCAGTAAAACGGTGCAAACGGAGGCGCCGATGAATCCTGGCGCAGGCGCTCGCTCGCATCCTCACCCTGCTCCAGGGTGGACGTCCAGCTCACTTTGCTGAATACTTGCAGGTTGCGGTCCTGGACAACTACGAGACATAGTAAAGCACCAAAAGATACCAAAAGTCAATTGCAGTGGGCAGAAATAGTCAGCATTCGCAATCATTGTGCAGTTGTTTTACTTTATCCACCTCATTCCTACATATTCCTACCTCATACGACATCTCGTTGTTCATACGAACTGGCTCACATCAATGCACACTGCAATTTACGAAGGCTTAGCCTCGGCTTAGCTGACACTTTCTGGTCACCAATTACCAAGGCCTCAGGGTTCTTCACCCAGTCGTACTCCCTGCGCATTTTGGCATCTGGGAACTCTTGAGCCAATCGTTCACAGCTCCAGCCCTCCAAAGCCATACCAGCAGAAGCATTCTCCAGGATGAGCACCTACGATGCTCTTGAGGGCCAAACACGGCAAACAACAGGTTTGGAGAGGCGTGGAGACCTGGTGAATTTACCAAAATGTTGCTACGCTATGCCGCTAGGCCATATTAGTTGTTCGCGACAGCTGGATGGGACAGGGCTGCTTACGGGGCAGCCGACAAACAGCAATGCTTCCTCGAAAAAGATCCAAAAAGATCCAAAAAGGAGATTTCAACTGGGCTGTGGGCCTTGCCAGATCGTGCTGCCTGGTCAAATGTCTCAGGGCTTACAGGCCCTTTTAGTCTCGGAGGCTCTTGGCCAGGCACACCTGCGGCATCTGACCCCACAGAGGTACACAATCATGTTTGCTTTGTTCGCTTCACCCCTCTTTCAGAAAAAACACACAACAGCACTAACAGCACCTTCAAAATACTCCGTTTCCAGAGTCTCGGGCAAGCATTCTGGGCAAAGCTTCGGGAGTTCGCGAAGCCCAATGCTGATTCGCAAATGGTGGGAGAACAGCAGCAGCGCGGATCTCATGGCTTCAAATATGTTTAAATGAAAGTTTGAAATAATGACTGGAATACAGTGTGGATATTCAAACAGATTGGCAGTAGGGACCAACCTGACAGACATCCAAGAAAATTAGGCGCAGTCAAAATTGCCCTACGGATCATCAAGTGCCTTACTTCGAGAATTAGGACAGAACAAAACCAACTTGCTCTCATCCAAACACATGAGAAGGCATACTCGTTGCATATTGGAGTTTTCGTGTTCTCGCTGGTGAGCAGGAAATTTTGTCAATCGATACTACGGCACTGCATAGTCACATCTGCTGTGTGAACCCTGCACGAGTGGATACAAGCAGGACGGTTGATGGCCGCATCTTTTGGTCTTTGCAGAACATCGGCCGTCAGTTCGCCATGGCATCAGTGTCCAGTGAAAGAACCACCACATGTCAGAGGAAGTCTTTCCGCCAACTTCGCTTGGACGAAAACGATGGATACGAGGGAAATTGGAATATGAACGACCTCGGAATGCTGAATCAGAACAGAGTCTGGCCTTGCAGTGCATTCCAACAACCTGGAAGTCTGTCATAGGTGCCGATGCACAACGGAAAATAAATATATTAATGTTTGTATACATACATAATATGCGCATATATATATATATGTACATATTTATATTTATTATTATTGTATTCTATATATATATATATAGAATACACATTTATATACATTTATAATATTTGTGTGTGTGCAGTTACATGCATCTTGCGTCACATGCTTTGCAGCAGCCCTTTGGAGTCCTTCAAGAACTCCAGAGCGATCTTAGGCCTGAACAATCCTTCAGGTACCATCTGGTATTGCATGTTCATGCCGTTCATGCCATACGCACCATAGTTCCTCTGCCAACGAAAGCAATCTTTGCAGTGTTGCACGCCCATTCATACCCAACGATGTTCTAAACTAAAACTATGTTTCTGTGAGAAATGTTACGCAGTGTTGCCACCTTCGTACGAACAAAATGCATATAAGTGAGTCCAAGTTGCTGATTGTACACACCGTTGGCACCTAGTCAAGTCACTCTGCCCGCAATAGTCTGGTGGCACACAAGTTGTGCAAGCATTTCAGCCTGCATCATACATATTACATACTTTTAAAGTTTAAAGATGTATCTTTAACTTTAGTTTATGTTGCGTTGTCAGTTTTCATCAGGAGCAACTGGCTGATGGCATAAGGTCATGGCCATAGTGTCCATTCATGTCCTGACTTCGCGAGGATAATATTGATCAAACATGATCAAACCAGTGCAAGAGAATGACAGATTTGACCATGAAGTAGGACATTGACATGAATGACTCTCATCGCGAAGAGTACCAGGGCAGGGGTTCAACCCGTGCCAGCCCGAGGAGGCTAATTGGTTTCTATTGGTTTCGATTGGTAAGTGTGCATTGCTCCTGTGGCGCCTGCTCGGTTGGTGGTTCAGCCGGCGGTTCTGGCACCTGGGCTGATGGAACTTGACTCATCTTTGTGCATGTCAAATACTGTCAAATGAGTAGGATCAAGTAGGACTTTCTTAGCAACTCACTGGAGCACAGAAGTCCCAGCTCTTGCCACTGACACCAGAGAACCTGGGCTGATCAACTGACAGATACCAAATGTTGAAAGGTTTCCTTTGGAACACATCGATGATCTCTGCCTGTGACAATGGAACAATCGAAATTACATCTGCATCTGCGCCACCAGCCACTGGGCAAGGCTCCACCTGGACCTGCCACATTGCTCCCCGCCTCAGGACATTAAAAGAAAAATGTCCACCTGAGAAGGGGGGAACGAAAGCCAGCATCCCATCTACCCCTATTTTCCACCATACTTTTCACCCAGAGACTCTTCAATACATTTCACCCATATACTTTTCACCCAGAGATTCTTCACCCAGAAACTCTTCTTGCACATACTTTTCACCCAAATACTTTTCACCCAGAGACTCTTCACCCAGAATTTTTGCTTGCACATACATTTCACCCATATACTTTTCACCCAGAGATTCTTCACCCAGAAACTCTTCTTGCACAGACTTTTCACCCAGAGACTCTTCACCCAGAAACTCTTCTTGCACATACTTTTCACCCATATACTTTTCACCCAGAGACTCTTCACCCAGAGACTCTTCACCCAGAAACTCTTCTTGCACATACTTTTCACCCACATACTTTTCACCCAGAGACTCTTCACCCAGAAACTCTTCTTGCACATACTTTTCACCCATATGCTTTTCACCCATCTTCTTGCACATACTTTTCACCCATATACTTTTCACCCAGAGACTCTTCACCCAGAAACTCTTCTTGCACAGACTTTTCACCCAGAAACTTCTTGCACATTTTTCACCCATATACTTTTCCCAGAAACCAGAGAAACTCTTCTTGCACATCCTTTCACCCATATACTTTTCACCCAGAGACTCTTCACCCAGAAACTCTTCTTGCACATACTTTTCACTTTTCACCCAGAGACTCTTCACCCGGAAACTCTTCCTGCACATACTTTTCACCCATATACTTTTCACCCAGAGACTCTTCACCCAGAAACTCTTCTCGCACATACTTTTCACCCATATACTTTTCACCCAGAGACTCTTCACCCAGAAACCCTTCTTGCACATACTTTTCACCCATATACTTTTCACCCAGAGACTCTTCACCCAGGAACTCTTCTTGCACGTACATTTCATCCATATACTTTTTACCCAGAGATTCTTCACCCAGAAACTCTCCTTGCACAGACTTTTCACCCAGAGACTCTTCACCCAGAAACTCTTCTTGCACATACTTTTCACCCATATACTTTTCACCCAGAGACTCTTCACCCAGAAACTCTTCTTGCACATATAATGGTCCCACATCGGAGCCTTAATTTTTCCATTGTGCTTCCATCCCATCAATTTCCGTCATTTTACTCTTATTTTACTTGGCATCATTTTGGTCCCACATCAGAGCTGCAATTTTTCCATTGTTGTTTCCATTGTTTTACTCCACTTCTATGTCATAGTCCCTCGATTTTTCCATGGCTTTTCCATCGCTAATGGTCTCACATCGAAGCCACATTTTTTCCATTGCTTTTCCATAGTTTTACTCGACATCATTTTCCCCTCCATTCCAGTCTCCCCAGTGTTGTTTTCACAGTTTTTCCTCCAGTTTTACTCAGTCGTCCCATAGTTTACGCTATCAATTTATCCTTTCCATTTCATCAATTTTTCCAGTGTTTTGCCATGGTGTTACTCGATTTCTCCATCATTACCCTTATATTATCTCAGTGTGTCTAACGCTTACCCAAATGCACCTCCCACAATCCCTACCGTTGCACCGTATAAACGGTTTTGCTCGTTTCTTCCATGGTTTTATTTCCGTGTTTCTACTCCATAGTGGTCACACATCGAAACCGCAATTTTTCCATTGCTTTTTCATTGTTTCACGCGTGCTTTACGCGATAATGGTCCCACATCGGAGCCTCAATTTTTCCATTGTTTTTCCACCCCATCAATTTCCATCCTTTTGCTTTTATTTTATACTTGGCATCATTTTCCAAGCGTTCTACTCAAATTTTCCATTATTTTCCCATTGTTTTATGTCATATTCCCTCATTTTTTCCATTGTTTTTCTCATCATTTTCCCCTCCATTGCAATCTCCCCAAGTCCAGCTCGGAGGGCGGACCAGGGGGGAATCGATACCCCACCGTCGCCCAATTGCCACCTGGTACATAACCCTAAAAAAGTTTACCTCGGTCCACCTTTTTTACCACCTAATTTCGCGATTTTTGATCCGTTAGGGGCGCTCTGCCCCCAGACCCCCTAAACTCACTTTGTTCGCAAAAAAAAACCTCGCCTAGCCTAGCGGCTGGCTCTTCTTGCACAGACTTTTCGCCCATATACTTTTCACCCAGAAACTCTTCACCCAGATTTTTTTCTTGCACATACATTCACCCATATAATTTTCACCCAGAGATTCTTCACCCAGAAACTCTTCTTGCACATACTTTTCACCCATATACTTTTCACCCAGAAACTCTTCTTGCACAGACTTTTCACCCAGAAACTCTTCTTGCACATGCTTTTCACCCTTATATTTTTCACCCAGAGACTCTTCACCCAGAAACTCTTCTTGCACATACTTTTCACCCATATACTTTTCACCCAGAGACTCTTCACCTAGAAACTCTTCTTGCACATACATGTCACCCATATACTTTTCACCCAGAGATTCTTCACCCAGAAACTCTTCTTTTTTCACCCAGAGAACTCTTCGTGCACATACTTTTCACCCATATACTTTTCACCCAGAGACTCTTCACCCAGAAACTCTTCTTGCACATACTTTTCACCCATATACTTTTCACCCAGAGACTCTTCTTGCACATACTTTTCACCCATATACTTTTCACCCAGAGACTCTTCACCCAGAAACTCTTCTTGCACATACTTTCACCCATATACTTTTCACCCAGAGACTCTTCACCCAGAAACTCTTCTTGCACATACTTTTCACCCATATACTTTTCACCCAGAGACTCTTCACCCAGAAACTCTTCTTGCACATACTTTTCACCCATATACTTTTCACCCAGAGACTCTTCACCCAGAAACTCGTCTTGCACATACTTTTCACCCATATACTTTTCACCCAGAGACTCTTCACCCAGAAACTCTTCTTGCACATACATTTCACCCATATACTTTTACCCAGAGATGCTTCACCCAGAAACTCTCCTTGCACAGACTTTTCACCCAGAGACTCTTCACCCAGAAACTCTTCTTGCACATACTTTTCGCCCATATACTTTTTACCCAGAAACTCTTCACCCAGAAACTCTTCTTGCACATACTTTTCACCCATATACTTTTTACCCAGAGACTCTTCTTGCACATACGTTTCACCCATATACTTTTCACCCAGAGACTCTTCACCCAGAAACTCTTCTTGCACATACTTTTCACCAATATACTTTTCACCCAGAGACTCTTCACCTAGAAACTTTTCTTGCACATATTTTTCACCCATATACTTTCACCCAGAGACTCTTCTTGCACAGACTTTTCACCCAGATACTTTTCACCCAGAGACTCTTCACCCAGAAACTCTTCTTGCACATACTTTTCACCCATATACTTTTCACCCAGAGACTCTTCACCCAGAAACTCTTCTTGCACATACTTTTCACCCATATACTTTTCACCCAGAGACTCTTCACCCAGAAACTCTTCTTGCACAGACTTTTCAACCATATACTTTTCACCCAGAGACTCTTCACCCAGAAACTCTTCTTGCACATACTTTTCACCAATATACTTTTCACCCAGAGACTCTTCACCTAGAAACTTTTCTTGCACATATTTTTCACCCATATACTTTCACCCAGAAACTTTTCTTGCACATACTTTTCACCCATATACTTTTCACCCAGAGACTCTTCACCCAGAAACTCTTCTTGCTCATACTTTTCACCAATATACTTTTCACCCAGGGACTCTTCACCCAGAAACTCTTCTTGCACAGACTTTTCACCCAGAGACTCTTCACCCAGAAACTCTTCTTGCACATGCTTTTCACCCATATACTTTTCACCTAAAGACTCTTCACCCAGAAACTCTTCTTGCACATATAATGGTCCCACATCGGAGCCTTAATTTTTCCATTGTGTTTCCATCCCATCAATTTCCGTCATTTTACTCTTATTTTACTTGGCATCATTTTGGTCCCACATCAGAGCTGCAATTTTTCCATTGTTTTTTCCATTGTTTTACTCCACTTCTATGTCATAGTCCCTCGATTTTTCCATGGCTTTTCCATCGCTAATGGTCTCACATCGAAGCCACATTTTTTTCCATTGCTTTTCCATAGTTTTACTCGACATCATTTTCCCCTCCATTCCAGTCTCCCCAGTGTTGTTTTCACAGTTTTTCCTCCAGTTTTACTCAATCGTCCCATAGTTTACGCTATCAATTTATCCTTCCATCTCATCAATTTTTCCAGTGTTTTGCCATGGTGTTACTCGATTTCTCCATCATTACCCGAATATTATCTCAGTGTGTCTAACGCTTACCCAAATGCACCTCCCAGAATCCCTACCGTTGCACCGTATAAACGGTTTTGCTCGTTTCTTCCATGGTTTTATTTCCGTGCTTCTACTCCATAGTGGTCACACATCGAAACCGCAATTTTTCCATTGCTTTTCCATTGTTTCACGCGTGCTTTACGCGATAATGGTCCCACATCGGAGCCTCAATTTTTCCATTGTTTTTCCACCCCATCAATTTCCATCCTTTTACTTTTATTTTATACTTGGCATCATTTTCCAAGCGTTCTGCTCAAATTTTCCATTTTTTTCCAATTGTTTTATGTCATATTCCCTCATTTTTTCCATTGTTTTTCTCATCATTTTTCCCTCCATTGCAATCTCCCCAAGTCCAGCTCGGAGGGCGGACCAGGGGGGAATCGATACCCCACCGTCACCCAATTGCCACCTGGTACATAACCCTAAAAAAGTTTACCTCGGTCCACCTTCTCTGCCCCCAGACCCCCTAAACTCACTTTGTTCGCAAAAATAACTTCGCCTAGCCTAGCGGCTGGCTTTCGTGAAAGATACCCAACATATCCCAACATCATCCAATCATCCAACACAAAAAGAATGTGTTGAGTCTAATGCAAAATGCTGAAAAATACTGCGACCTGTTTTTTGTTGTTCTCAGAGTCTGACGCAATCTTTGGCTGCGGGACAAGCAAGAAACTGACCACTGCTGGGCGTCTGTTGGCACAGGTCGCCACCATCCCTTGGTCCACCCCTGTTTGGAAAAGCTTGGAAACCGTGACACCGGCAGGAGCTTGGGCGCCCTGAGTCAAAACACCTCGAGAAGAAAGCCTAATTTTTAAAAAGAATGAATATTTCACGGCCAAGGTGCTGGAGATACTTCTGCATCGCTTCAATTGTGATCCTGTCTTTAAAAGGAACCTTTTGGATATCGATTTCGCCGGTCTCCTTTGCGCCATGCGTGGCTCTGGCGCCGTTGTGAAAGTATCAAGTGAGGGCTTGAAATGTTTGAACATCGAGGACATCTCACACCAGCTGTTGCCTTGAGTCTCCACTGTGTTTTTTGCCAGCGCTATTGTTTTTTTACAAGCGAACTCAAACCCACTTCCATCGTACTGACGCTCACAATTAGGAGAAAGCAACTCAAAGAACCCGAGGCCCGACGGTTGATTCAAAAGTGAGTTTAGTTGAGACATGTTGAGACAACGTCGCATCCCAAAGATGTCGGGCTCCATATTGTGGAAGAGCGGATCGTTCATATACTTCTGTAGGACGTCCATTCGTGGTGCACATTCGCAGCCAAGATGTGATGTCCTCAGCTACAATGCCGACGGGAAACTGTGTGCACTTCGTGAGGCCTGAGCTCATACTGGAAGCTGCCACTTCAGTGGAAAATTATTGGGCAAATGATGGGCCACCAAGCAGAAAGGGTGCACATGGATGCACATGGTACAATCAAGAAGCAACTCCTCCACTCCCTCCTGGGTGTCTGGTTGTTCCATTTGGTGTGGAACACCTTACGTCGAAAAGAAATGAAAAGAACAACAATAGAACAATTGGAGAGGTGCAATGCGACATCGTCAATCTGAGGAAAGTGCAGTAGTCCCACATCCGTCCCTGCACACCAAGGGCATGATCCCGGCCAGTGGGGTCGGATGCAGCCTCCAATTCGCCACAGCTAGGCTCCTGACATCCCACATTATCCCACTGCAAAACTCATCGAAACTTGCGAAGGAGAAAATTGCGCACTTGCACTGAAGAATGGCTGTGCATATCTGTGCATGATTTCTCCCTGCACTGCGGTCTTCCTCTGAAGTCCCAACACGGCACCATGTGAAGGGCTGGCCCTGTAAAGCACACTTTGCGGTGGGGTCACCTGATGCAACTGAACTCTCTCTCTCTCTCTATCGCCATCCCGGAGGTTCAGCATCGGGAATGAACTCAATAGGATTTTTCGAAGAATCTTGTTGATATGATGCATGGTTTTTTTGCATTTTATAGCTGCGGTGTGCCACTGTCCCTGCGAGAAATGTAGAACCCACATGTTTCACATCTGAGGCTGGTGCAGGTACAGCCACTGGATGTCTCCACAACTGGCAATGGAGGCTCTCCAGCAGGCGCGGGCTCCTGCAAAAGGTCAACTGCGAATGTGATCGGCTGAACTGCTTGAGGCCCCTTTGGGGAGAAGAAAGTGATAACATGTAGTACCTAGCTGAGAACTAGTCATAGATAGTTAGATAGCATCCAAACATGGCAGAGTAAAGATGTAAAGCAACACAAGGAGAGTGACAACCTGATCTGCAATAGGCGGATGGTCGAGCCATCTTGACATGTCTTGACAGTCCTGCGGTTCCACATCGCTGGACAGCGGCTGCGGGAGTTCGTCAATGGACCAAGTCTTATTTTGCACTTCCGACTCCATCTCTTCTGCAGTGGCCTGAGCAAGGATGTGGAGGGGTCGAGACTGTGGAGCAGCACTCTCCATTTAGATGTGTTCAGCTTGCGAAGTGGGCGAACCTCTGCATCCTCGGAGGCAGTCACCCCAGACATAGCTGCAGCCTGCACCCGAAATTGGCAAGAAGGGGTTCGAAACAGGCCCCTCAAGCTTGCAAGTCTCTACTTCTTGCCCTCGTTGCCCTTTTTCCCGTCCTTGCCTGTGCTGATTCCATTTTCCTGAGCTCACAGCGGGCTTCCCATTTCTCATGCGGG